ACTAGATATAGTTGATGTTCCCTAACCGGGGATGTACATGGCCACTGGAAAGTGTGGTTTACATGTTTCTTTCTATGCAGTCTGAACTACACTATAGGCTAGTGAGCATCCTATAGTGTGTATCTATATATTTATGGGCTATTTTAGATATTGCCGAGCTATCTAGGATGTATCTGCGTATCGGGTTTATGTATGGATTGTAGTAGAATGGAACTTGCATATGGGCCTGACCCACTCTTATTTTTCAGGTGTCCGTCAGTACCAGGCGTAGAGTTTGATCGTGATAAAGCAGATACAGTCACTCACTCTTCCGACTACATAGGATTTCATTTCTTATTTTAGTTTTGAAATTTTTGTTTTGTAATTATTGTTCATTTGGGATTATTAGAGGTCCACTGGATGGATTCTCGAGTTGTACGGATTAAAAAATTAAATTAAATAAATAATATTTTGTCTTGGAGGATTTTCGTATTTAGAATTCTTTTCAGCTTATTATTTTTATACTTAATTCTTTTTGTACTCTTACTTGTTTATATATTAATTGTTTGGTATCCCTCGGTTCTGTGCTCGGACTTAATCACTCGTGACTCTAGAATTGAGGGGTATCACAACTCCTATGTCTATTATTACTTTTTCGTATTACCTTTAGTAATAGAAGTTCTTTGATTTGTTTTTGGAATTTTTCTTGATCATCTAGGGTATGAGGATTATCTTGATTTTTTATAATTATGAAAGGATTGATCATATTCAATTTTGTTTCGATTTTATTTTTATACCAGTGTTTCTGGGAATCTTTTCCTAAAATCTCAGTGGTTTCAGCTAGTTTTAAAAGATTATCTATGTTTAATTTAGGATTTTTTAATATAACTTTATTATTAAGGAAAATCTTTGGTTCACCTAGATGACTAAGAAATATTAATGCTTTAGAGACATTTTCTAAAAATTTGGTTACATCAAATAAGTTTTCTGTAGTTTTCTCTGTCATAGATAAAGTATTGACATAAGTAATAGCTCATTTTTCTTTCTGAGGAATATAAGGAGGGTTGGATGGAATAAAGGTTCATTTTGTAAAGAACTGTAAACCCGTAGGGGTATATATAAATCCTCCAGTGAGTGAATTTATAAAATTTAAACCTAAAATAAAATCATAAGTACTAGAAATATTATTAATTACATAAATCTATGGTAAAATAAACTTTTCGTTGTTAATTAATATAGGAATATTTTGAACACAATGAGTTATTGGGAATTTTTTATTATTATATTGACTCATATTAACATTATAATTTAACTTTATCAAGGATTTTTCAGGTACTAAATGCTTTTGAATTATACTTTTAGATGCTTCAATATCTAACATAGCTGAGATTTGAACTATTTTTTCTTTAAATTCTAAAGTTACCGGGAATTTTGTTAGACTAGATGGTTTATATATTGAATTTATAGATTCAACTACAGTATCTTCTTGCTCATCTTCATATTTTGAGTAACAGTCTTGACATAATAGAGTTTTACAGTGGTCTGTACAGTAATGACCTTCTTTAATAGATATATTATACTGTTTACAATTGTAAGATGAAAAATGAAAATTAAGTAAAGTATATTGGCATGATGGATTGCTTATAGTGTAAACGAAATCTTCCATTGAATGAAGGCCTTGCTCAAAGTCTTCATCATTATCGAAATCGCTATCCATGCTTTCGATACTATATATACTTTCATTGTCATCTTCGGAATTATAAATACTTTCTAATTCATATAATTCTTCTATCTGTTCTTCAATATCTTCAAGTATATTAATATTTTCTTGTATCATTTTCATCGGATTTTGTTTGTATCTATAAGGACAATTTGGTCTTATATAACCTAGATCTTCACAAATAAAATATCTGCAATTTCTTTCTTTTATGGGTAATGTGTTTACTTTATTATCTTTGTTATCTTTATTTTCCTTTTTATTATTATCTTTATTTATTTTTTGCCTTTTATACCAAGGCCGCTTTCTGAATTGCCTAGGGTTATTTTTGAAATAAGGTTTTTTATTGCAGTAATTTTTGTAGGTCTTACTTTTATGTAGATTATATTTTTTTGGTTTATTACGCTTATAATTATAATTTTTCTGAGGCATACAAGTATACTGTGGTGGAAAGTCTATTTGCCCACAAGTATAATAAAATTATTTTTTTGATTTGTTTAGATTCTTTACGTTGCCTACATTCTGCTTTTAACATATTATAAACATGATTTACTCTGTCTCATATGGTTAACCTATCTCTTCTGTAATTTTCTAACCATTTTTCCCATATCTTAGTTCCTACACTTCTTGGTAATTTCTAAAGATACCTATCAAGTAATGTTCAGTCTCCTGTTTTACTAGTGGCTGCGAAATACTCGAAAAATTTATTAGTATAATCTCTTATATATCTAAAATCACAAATCTGTAATAATTCTAAATTTCGTAAAACTTCATTTTGCTTTATTAGGGTTTCGTCTAATAATCTATCTTCGCCAACTAGCACCTTTTCTATTCGGCTGGTAAAACCTTGAATTGTATTATTACATAAGAGGGCATAATCATTGGGAAAGGTTACCTTGTAAGACTGCCACCAATCATGGATTGTTCCCCTTAATAAAGTTTCCCAATAAGTTAGGGCTGGTGTTTTATTATCAAAATTGGTTAGAATGGATTGCCTAATACAGTCCTGTTCCCAATTTTTAATTACTTTTGCCCAGTCTTGGGGATTGTGTCGTGATATGTCTAATATTGTTCCTGCTTGTTGTGATGGTATATTATCATAACGTCTACGATTTTGTGTCCATGTATATATATCTGGTTTATTTCTATTTTCTACATAGGTTTCTTGTGTGGGATTTAACCGTTGTCCAGTGGTATAGTCATCGTTTATGGTATTAGTACTACCTGTGGCGTTAGTCATCGTTTGGTCAACTGACTGAGAAACGGATCTTTCTAGTTCTTTTCCTTCTCTATGTTCTACTACATTTAATTCTTCTTTTAATGTGTTTAACTCATATGTCGTATAAAAAAAAATTGTTTGCACCCAAGAACAATCAAACTTTAGACCTGAATCCTGATGCTTCCAGAGGCACTAAGGCTAAGTGACTTACCCACTTGAACCAACCCTTCGGGTTCAAATTTCCTGAGAGTTGATAATGGCTATTCACATATGTAATATGGTCCATTTAGTACACATGAAATTTCTAAAGAGAGAGCAGAATGGAGGCAACACCTAACCGACCAACCATTTCTTTATAAATAAAATAAAAACCCTTTACAAGTGACACGGGATTTTATTAGGACGTTATCTTTTTGTATGAGATTTACTTTCCTAAAATATAATAACAAGCTTTTAAATACATTATCACAAACTGATATGAATATGGTGGAATGATAATAGACTTGTTCAACATTCCTAAATTGAGATTCACTGTACCAACTTTAAAATTGAAGATGAAACATAATTATCATTTTATATAAATGTGCAAGGGACGAATAATGAACCATTTAACGTACTACTTTCCAAAAAAGAACCATTTAAGGTACTAATTTAATTTGTATCCCTCCCTACCCTTATGTTCTTGTGTTACGAAAATTGTCACTGCTAATCATCCTAGTAATATTTCCCAAGGATGGCAATGTGCAGCATTAAACAAGTACCCCCACCGACGCCACCCTGTCCTATAATAACAGGATGTACGCTAGAGAGCGGTACAGGGTCAAGGATAAAACAAGAAAATTAGACCACATGGGTTATTATTCTTGCCCATTTTATGATTAATATATTATGACATCTAAAAAATTCAATATCACCAGAAAGGCCACAACTTCTACTGCCAAGTTATTATGGAAACTGCTACTATAGTACATGGACCATGGTCCACATAGGGAGCCTATCCATCATAAATTAATTTCCCTGTGGTACTGTTGATGGTTGTAAAAACTAATTATCGTGAAAAAGGCAGCACATACTGTAACACATCATGGTTGTAAAATCAGATGAAAATGGTTTATATTTTTACCAACCTCAATCCCATATCCCTTCTCTTCTCCCCAAGCACTCCTAGGGGCATTTCATTCCTCACACGCCTCATCATGTTTTGTCTTAGATTGAAGATGAGCCACAGAGGTCATCTAATCCAAATTCGCCCCGTTGCCATCCCAATGCTGCCTTTTGAAATGAATTTATCATAACTGAGTGAGATAGATAGCATTTAGGAATTGCACAGTGGATCAGTTGTAGTTTGTTATAGCTGAATCATCATCATATATTGAGCAAAGGTCAGTATATCGCATGCGGAATTTTCCTCAAATTGTAATTTTTTGTAAAAACTATTCTTTCCTTTTCTCAATTTCTTAAGCATTTCACTAAAAGCTCTATTTTTAAAATGACTCCTCTCCAAATATTTAAAACGTATAGCATATTGCAACACACAAATATAGGAATATGATGCACGACCCAGAATTAGACAATATAAGTGACACGCACTTCAAGCATAGGCTTTTAGAATCAATATGGGTAGTTTAAAGAGTCTTACCAAGGTGATTCTCCTCTTATGAGTTATTGGTTACCCTTCTTAAAGTACATCTACCTACATTTTCTTAATTCTTGTAATATCTCTGGGTTTAATTCTAGTGTAGACAATTCTGTTTAATACAAATATCTTTCACTCCAAAAATCAGATTCTCAAGGCCGGTCAATAAATACCGAGAAGTCACTGAAAATTAAACAGCAGAACCAGTGAACAGTTGCTGAGGCAGTCCTTCCCAGGTATCAAGATCACGGATAAACCATACTGAGCCGCTTATACTAAGACTTGTACAACAAGAACAAAAATAGACCCACGCGCGGCAAAACAATATTCAAATATAGCAACATATAAAAAGATTCTAGGAACAATAAAAATCAATGTGAACCCATCTCAATGAAAATATAGTTATTGCATGCATCCTAAAATATTAAATTATGTATTTGACAACATACCTTTGAAATGATGTCACGATCACGTAATTTTGAAGCTGATAGAGATAACTGCATTTCAATTGAAACACATTATTGCATCATGTAGAATGAATTCAAATAGACATTGTGTGAAGACCATGAAAATAAAATAGGTAAGCTTAGAACAAGGAAACTATACTTAGATAAAATTTATGATTTATTATTCTCCTTCCCTCCACAACAATAAATAAATAAGAACCCCACTATACTGCAATTTGGTCCACTGGCATTTCCTATAGCATCACATGTCTTGGTGAATTGACCTTAGATATAATGACTGGTAGTGAAATAAGTTAACCCCCTGAACCTGCTAGTGGGGTGTTAACACCTTCCCCGGTGCCTTAGAAAGCCCAATGCAATCAGAGGATTTTTCTCCCAAATAAAAAACCATATAATAGTGTGGTAATATCAATTGATAGACCTTGACAAAGATCAAATTCAGTCACACCGTCAACTGACAATGTCATTGAGTTTAAAAATCAAACATTTTACATCCACCAAATTCACTATCTCTTGCACTTCTATAGTTCCATGGGGCGTTCAATGACTAAAAATATTTCCTGTTTTTTGTTGTCAACCCTTAAAAAGAAAAACAAAAAGCGAAATCATGTTCTAGTAATACGTTTTTGCTTTTCTAAAGTTGAAAATGTTTTTCATTTTGTGAAGAAAAGGAAAGTATTATTTTCATACTTTCTGTTTCACAAGTGTTTTTGTTGCATGTTTCATGTTGTGGGTGGCGTAATACATCACAACACATTTGGTAACCGGTTGCCATTTGAATAGTACCCAATTTGTTGCTGAAAAGAGGCCCATATAGGAATCGGTGTTTCCTAATGTTTTCGCATGGTGGCATTGCAGTGAACAGTACCACATAAAAAATAAAAAAATTGTAGCATGCCCCCTTTAACTAGCCATTTTGTTTCTCAATTATGCAACACTTTGACGCTACCAAACATGTTCTCATATTTTCACTTCAAAAAATCTTGCAAAAAATTTTACTAAATGCACCCCAAATGTGCATGCTTCCAATCACAAATGAACACATACCATAACAAAAACATTGTTTCTGTTTCGGACGAAAACAAAAACGCATAACAACAATGGTTACCAAACGAGCCCTTAATTTTTTATTTTCTTTATGTAAATCCAAGAAATTCTCCCATTCTAATGACAAAAGGAAGCAAAAATGATGCAAAGCACGTTCAACAACAATAATTCAACAGAACATTGACCACATGGGATGAAATTGACCCATCATTGACAGCAGAGAACTAGGGTTTTTTGGGATGATATAAAGGTAAACACAAGTACTACATTAGGAGTGTTTGTATAATATATATGTGCATATACCTCGATTTGTGTAAAGAGAGCTTGAGGACCCTTTGTTCTAAAGAATTTGTCAACAGCGTCGTTGTGGGCTGCTCCACCACCAACATCGTTCATCTTCAGTACGGCCCCTCCGCCCACTGCTTGTTGCCCTCCTCTTAGGTACGAAAAGCACATTCCCATCTATCACTCTCTCCTCCCTCTTTCTCTCTCTACAATATCTGAAATGTATAATATATATACTCTTTCCTCTGTAAAACTCCAAATTTCGTTTACCAGTAATTCCAAAACTCATCTTTCTCCTCTGGGTTTCTCCAATTTAAGGAGATGGTAGCAATTACTTGGAACTGAAGAGGCGTGTTTGTGTGAATGAATTAATCTCTACTTTTGCCAAAACAATTAATTACGGAGTATATTTATTAATATCTGAGTGATGAAGGAGGAATCATTCTTGACTTTGCTCTCAGGTACTGTATGAAGCAAGAGCAAACATTCTTTACTTTGCTTGCTCTCATCAATCTTATAAAAATATTGTTTCTTCCTCCATATCTGTATGTATCATTTGCAGCTGGTGATGTCTTGGGATTATAGGTTTAGGTTAAGTGGCATGGACCCACGGGCGAGTATATAAAAAAAATTTAAAAATAGAATACACACTATGACACTATTATATACGAGTATAAATATTAATTTTATATATATATATATATATATATATATATTATGTAATAGTATTATAAAATTTCTATTTATTTATAATTTTTATACTAAGTTTCGTTCTAAAATGATTTAAAAGATATTTGGTAGAGCTCCGGTCTTGCAATTAGGTTGTAGGGGTTACAGATTGGATGTCTAATTGTTCACACTGTAATGATAGAATCTTGTGTCTGAATGGATAACTCACTTTTTCTAAGTAATGAAAAAAATGATTAAAACATGCCAAACTCTGCTTATTTCATTATGGTAAAGATTTTTATATTATATTATATATAAAGATATTCTACTAGTTTGTGTGGTGTTTTAATTTTAAATGAATATGTATATTTGTCTTCGTATAATTTAAAATGCGTTCATATTATTTGCAATATTACTGAGTAAACTTATATTAGAAATGTTAGAAAGTGTCAACTAAGTGTGTAAAATAATAAAATTAAAATTTTATTTGTAGACTGTAATGTTTTCAATTTTTACCAATTTTTCATTTTCTGAAATTTTCTGTTTTTGCGAGGACATTTTCTTATTTTCTCGTTTTGCGTGTTAGACACCGTGGGGTATGCCAGTTATGCCCAAGAGTTGGTTGGGGCATTTCTTTGAGTTCAGAACTCTTAAAAATGCAATGGTGGTCATTTTTGCATTTTTTTTCGTTTTTCAGGTCGGACGGTCCCCTGTGGGACCCGCTACAGGAATTGTTGAATACGGAAATTGTAATTGAATCCATTTGCATCTCATGCATTTTACTTAATGTGTCTTATGTGGGTTTTATATATTTTGTGTATATATATTTATGTGGTGCAAAAGAAAAATCAAAAATAGAAATTTAAAATTTTGTGATAGGACCCACTTTCCACTAAATGAATTAGTGGCCAAGAGGCCATTTGGCCTCACTCCCTTTCTCTCTCCCGGTAATATCTCTCTCTCCCTCACATTTCTTCATTTTTTTCTTTTTCTTTTCAATCAAAACTTCAATCTCAAATTTCTTCCTCATGTCTTGGAATTTTTGGATGTCATTTGCGGCAAATCGAAGAGTCTGGTGAGATCTACACGTTGATATAAGCAATTCCTTATTTGGTGCACTCTAGAGATTTCAAATTTTTGGACCCATTTGGGGGTTTTTGCATCTAATTAAGTGAGGTAGAGGTGTTTAATTTACAATCTCTTGAATTTTTGTGAATTATTTCCCTTAATTTGTGGTTTAGCATGCTAATTGTATTGAATTTCCTCTAAAATGATGAAATTGTTACAAATAAAGTTTGTGACTATGTGCTTTAGTTGATTTTATATGGACTAGTATGCTTGTATGAAGTAGAATTCATGCCTTATATGCTTGCTTTGCCAAATTATTGTTGAATGTAAGTATGTTTTATTTACTTTAAAGTTCTTGTAAAGCATGCTATGTGTTTTAAGCTTGAAGTAGTTGTATAATGATGAGCATTGACATGGTTCATTTATGTATGAGATTGTGAAGCATGAGGCATCCATGCATGAACATTGGGAAAGAAATGTGAAGTTGTTTTGAAAGAAATAGAATATGGGGTTTTTGATAAAATAAGTTTTGGAAAGGCTTTTGTGAAAAACCGGACGCCGAGGAAATACCGAGGGTCCGTGGCGTTAGTGTAACCTAGAGAGAACTAGGGAAATCACCCTAGCGTGGTTAAGCTATCTGGCCCCAAATGAAGCCGCGGGGTTACCAAGGGTCAGGAATAGTAGTCAATCCTTCTCTCGTGTCGCCGAGGAGTCACCGAGGGACGGGTTATGTTAACGGTTTGAAAAGTGATAGATTGGATTTTGAAAAAAAAAAAATGGGGAGCGACATACATGGTTTTACATCTTATGGCATGAATTTATTTCATTATGACTTGAACTTGTACTGTATTTTTTCCTGGCATAGTATGATCCCGTTGCCTTTGTTTCTATTCATTGTTTGGACTCACGGAGTTTCAAGAGGTGTGCCTTAGGCACTTCCTACTGAGCTTTTGTTCACCCTTTTATTAACATTTTTCAGGACACGGCAAAGAAGTGGTAGATGACAATCCACCACAAGTATGATAGGACTAGAAGGGATGTTTTGCAACCTTTAGTGTTTTAGAGTCATTCTTTTGTAGAGCATCAATGACAAAATGTATTAAACTTGTTTGGCATGGCCTTGTAGTGTAACTTTGAGCTTGACTCTATTATGATGTAAATTGGACAATTGTAAAGATCATATATATTTAGATGTGAATGGGGTTAATAAAGTTATAATTGTAAATAATTAATGATGTTTTTCATCCATGAAAGTAGTATGATGCATTTCAAAGTATTTTGGGACATGTTAGATAAGTTTTGAAGGTTCAAAGGCCATTGCATTTTTATGCATTTAAGCAGGTTGTTGTAGATTCCTTTTTAGCAGGGGTCATGCCAAAATTATTATTATTTTTTTATAATTGACCTCGAGTTCGGGTAAGGACCAGGTCCCAAAATTATTATTATTTTTTTATAATTAACCTCGGGTTCGGGTAAGGACCCGGTTAACAGTTTGGACTCACAGGTTCAGGTCGTTACAAATTTGGTATCAGAGTAATGGTTCGAAAACCATTAGGACGACGGGTAGAGGCCTACCTAGGGTTGTGTGGGAAGTCATTTGCATTATTTATGTGACTATTTGCTAAAGCGTTTTGTTATTTGAAAAGAATGTTTAACTGTGTACTTGTTTACATGTTTATGTGCTTACGGTTTTGAAAGACATTCTTCCTTGCTATGTGTTTGCAAATTTATATGTTTATATGCTAAAGTTTTTGTTATATGGCCATGTACGAGGAATAGTTAGATGATCTAACCGTGTAAGTGAAATGTGAAAGAAAAGAAAAGCATATTAATTGTGCATGAGGAGTATGGTGACGAGAAGTGGTAGGCATAGTGTGTGCAGTTTTAATTTAAATGCTAATATGACAAGTAATGAGCATGGTATATGCAAACATGTTTCGTAAAGTATTGTGGGCTTCATTTATTTTATATACGTATATGTCTATATCCTTATATAGTTATACTGTTAAACATTGGGATGGTTGCCACTATGTTGGGGTACTTGTCGCGGCATTGAGAGTTATATAAGTTTTGACTTGAGAACGCGAGGAGCTCGGTTGCTCCAGGGTTGTTTGGGTGCCAGTTCTTGTCGAACTAATGGCTTGGGCTTCTAGCTCATGGATTGAGCTGTTTAGCGTGTAGTCATCCTGATCTTCTTAGTTGCATTTTATGCAGTGCTTAGAACACGACTTTAGAACGGGTTCATATTTCATGGCAAGGTGCCCTTGTTATGTGTGAGTTTCATGTATTGGTGTATGGGTTCTGCTGATTATAGAGGTCAAGTGTATGAGTGAGGGTTTCGGTATGACCTTAGGAGGTCAGTGTTTATGACTTAGGTCACGATTTGGTGTGGAGGTTCTTTTCAAACCGGTCGTAGTAGGTGTGACGGGGGTTGTTTGAGTCACGAATGTAGTCTTTGGATTATAAATGTGTATTTTGAGCATTTTGGAACGGCTTAAGAAAGTGTGTTGGTTTTGATTGTCGTGGAAACTTGTTGGATTCTATAGGTCTATGGTGATTTAGGACTGGTTGCTGGATGTAGATCATTTTATGGTCTTGTAGGAGTTTGTTTTAAAGACTGGATTGTCGAGGAGTGATTCTCATTTCAAAGAGTTACAGGAGTGTGCTATGGGTAATCTACTCTCAGTGAGTCGGTTGCATGGCTCGGTCAATGAGCGGGGTTCTGGATTGGCACGGCTATCTAGAGAGTCTTGAGGTGCTGTATAGTGGTTAGTTTTAGCTGTGTAGTGTAGGATTGCACAATAAGGCAGGTAGTATGGGGTCATTAGAGTGTTTGGTTGTTTGCGGATGAAGTGATAGCTAGTGAATATTGTGTTTTCAAATTAATTGTGTTTTAGAATTTGAAAGCTGTGGATTAGGGTTGTATTTCAGATTGCATCTGGAGTATCAGGAGATAGTGCTTGTTGTTTGAGAATTCGAAGAGATAAACTAATGATTGGAGTGATTAGGACCAGGTTGATCTCGTAGGTTAGTTGGCAGCCCCATTTGATTTTTGGTTGGGCTAAAGATGTTTTAAGGAACGGAAATGAGGAAAAGTAACGATGTTGAACTTTGGGTATGAAGTTTTCTTGTTTGGATGCATAGATAGCTTAAAAAGTGTGGTTTGATGTTATTGGTTAAGCGTTAATGATTGATGGCATCGTTGATGGTATTAAGGTGACTATCGGGTGTTGAGCATTTTGAGATTTGCGCTCATTTTGTTTTGAGGGTTTGTGTGCATAACATTACCGTATGGAGGTTCTTTTCTAATGGTAAATAGTGGTCGTTATGGGAAGTATCGAAAGTAATGCTTATTTTCTTGTTACGATGGTGTTATCCTAAGAATGTTTGAGGAAACTAGAACCACTTGGTAGTTACTTGATGGTCTGGTGAGATGAGAGGTACGAGTTATCTTTCAGGAAGAATGGTAATAGAGGTGTTATAGTGAGATGTTTAGTGTTGATGAGCAGGACGGTTTAAGGTATGACCTAAATGTGGTTTGGGGATTATGAATTGTTTGTTGTATGTTATCAGGTAGGTGATGGGGTTGCATGTCAGTTGAGACGATTGTGGTCGGCTTAATCTT